GGCGGCGGCGGCAGCAGCGGCGGCGTGGGCCTGCAGCACGAGACGCAGGAGCTGGCCTCCAAGCGGGTGGACATCCAGAACAAGCGCTTCTACCTGGACGTCAAGCAGAACGCCAAGGGCCGCTTCCTGAAGATCGCCGAGGTGGGCGCCGGGGGCAGCAAGAGCCGGCTGACGCTCTCCATGTCGGTGGCGGTGGAGTTCCGCGACTACCTGGGCGACTTCATCGAGCACTACGCGCAGCTGGGCCCCAGCCAGCCCCCCGAGCTGGCGCAGGCGGCGGACGAGCCCCGGCGGGCCCTCAAGAGCGAGTTCCTGGTGCGCGAGAACCGCAAGTACTACATGGATCTGAAGGAGAACCAGCGCGGGCGGTTCCTGCGCGTCCGGCAGACGGTGAACCGGGGCCCGGGCCTGGGCTCCACGCAGGGCCAGACCATCGCCCTCCCGGCCCAGGGCCTGATCGAGTTCCGCGACGCCCTGGCCAAGCTCATCGACGACTACGGCGTGGAGGAGGAGCCGGCCGAGCTGCCCGAGGGCACCTCCTTGACGGTGGACAACAAGCGCTTCTTCTTCGACGTCGGCTCCAACAAGTACGGCGTCTTCATGCGGGTGAGCGAGGTCAAGCCCACCTACCGCAACTCCATCACCGTCCCCTACAAGGTGTGGGCCAAGTTCGGGCACACCTTCTGCAAGTACTCGGACGAGATGAAGAAGATCCAGGAGAAGCAGCGGGACAAGCGGGCAGCAGCCGCCGCCGCCTCCTCCTCGTCCTCCGGGGGAGCCGAGCAGCAGCCGGAGGCCGAGAGCAGCAGCAGCAGCAGCGCCGCCGCCGCCGCCCCGCCGGGAGCCTCGCTGCAGGCCGAGGAGCCGGAGGAGGATTGATCTCCCTCCCTTGTCCCCTCCCTCGTCCCCACTTCCCTCCTCCCCACTTGGCTGCCTCCTCCCTGCCCTGCTGCACAGAGACACTCGTAATAATAATGACAACAACAACAACAGCAACAACACACACAGAAAGAGACTTTATACTGTAAGCGAGCGAGAGAGAAAGACAACCGACACCCCCCACACCGAAAATAATAACATGCCGTTAAATATTCCTGTTACTCTAAACTCCAAGGGGAGCCACCAACCCAACCACCCACATCACCAAACTGACAGCCGAGCAAGCAACTTCTTTCTCTCCACCCCATCGCTGGATTGTCCCTTCCACTCTTACCCATCGTATAAAACAGTAAGCAGCTGCTAAAAACAAAAAAACAAAAACAAAAAAAAATAAATTACAAAAAAAAAGTAATAACATTATATATGATGAACTGTGTTTCCTACTTGATTAAAAATATAAAGAACTGAGTGTTTATTTCCCTAATTAACCAAGAACTTTTGTACACGTTTAAGCTATTATTATTATTATTATTAAAAAAAAAAGTGTTTGCAAAAATGGTCAAGATTAAAATATTGCTGAATTATATTAAAAAAGAGAAAAAATGTCCTTTTCATGTTGAGCTAACATTTGACTTTAGCACAAAAAAGAGATATTTTAGAACACGTAAAATAATATTTTTAGTTTTTTCTTCTCATTTTGTTACCAAATTTCAGAACCTTACATGGAGGTTATTATAGTATATTTGACACCCTATATACCTGTGATTAGAGATGTGTATATATATTTGAGGGCTAGGCATGCTGTGTGTCTGAGCTTTGTCTAAATGTTATGCAGAAGTCTGTAGAGTTAAAAGGTACGTAGGTTTAATTCATGCAAGGTAAACAATAAGTGCTCTCTTTTATACAATATGCATTGCATCTGGACCTTAAACATATAAAATGGTCAGTGAAACTTCTGTGAACATGAAGAAAAATTATTAAAAAGGCATTTAAATGAAATTTGCTAACTTGTGATTTTTATGGTTTGAACCAAAGTTATTCAAATAGTAAAAAGAGAGAGAGAGAGAAAGAGAAAATAATATCCCATATTTTTCTGCACCTGTTTGATTTACAACTAAGTAGGTATATTGTCATTATTGTGTATATCAGATGTACTTGTATTGTTAATAATATATTTTTTTTATGATGTGTACTTAACGTACAGCAATTTCCAGTAAACCTGTTTTTGAATAACAGGTGGCGGTGAGGGGTTTTTTTGTTTTGTTTTGTTTTTTGGCCCCTGCCACTCCCCCCCCCCCCCAACTTGTTTAAGTCTGAATTGAAACTTCAGTTTATGCTAGTGCTAACTAATTTGTGTAGGCCTGTCATAGAAATCAGTGCAACATGATTATCGAGTAATCCTACTGAGCCATGGATTTTGAGTTTCCTTTAAAAGTGAAAGCCAAGTTGGTGTGTTGTAAAGAAATCTTCATGTAGCTGTGGTGCTAGTTATTGCTGGCTACATATTTTATGTAGTAGTGATCTCCCCCACCCTTCCCCATTGTGCAAGCCTTCAGTTAAAAGTATGTACTTTGTGTGATATATTAAGACTGTAGGATATGAAAACAGAGTCTATCAGAACACTAATCTGTCAAATGGTGTTCTCCAAATTGCAATTATTTGTAGTAAATACACTTTACAGAGTTTTCTTTTTTTTAAAAAGATGTTTGTGTGCTTTTAATTGACTAACTTCTTGCTGCTGTATAGTAAAATATTAATATATTTTTATCATTAAACTGCTGCATGACTATCATCATTGCAAGTGAAAAGAATATGTTATAAATGATGCCTTAAACAGTAGAAAAAAATAGTTGGAAATCTGTAGGAGGAGTTGACAAAACAAGAATCTGTTTCAGTTTCTGGAGTGTAATCATATTTTAACATCCTTGACAAATTTAACAATGTAGACTTAACTGCTGTATGTAGAAGATGCCACCTGTAGGAACAGAAGTTTTCAATGCTTTGCTTTGATTGTAAGAGGTTGGGCCTAGGAAGGACAAAGAGATTGTTCAAAGGAAATGTATTTTGTTTTCATTAAAGTATAATTCCTGTTTTGGAGATGTACTGTAAGTATCAATATAAAATCTGTTTCCGTTGTACCATCCATTTCTCGTTAAACAAGCCTGCTACTGGTGTTCATAGAGCGCCAAATGTGCAATAATGTTATAGCAGTTAGGAATTTTTGTTTTAACAATCACTGGAATTTATTACATTGTTTTCTAAGGTGCACTTTTCCACATAGCAAAAATAAGCTTCCATAGTGCATAACATGGTAACTGAAATGGTTCTCAAGTGCATGTAAACATTGATTGATAAATTTGCTTTGTTTTAATTTGGGGGGTTTGCTGAGCAGCTTTGTATTGTATTTGAACTGTGATGTGGAAAGGACTGCATTCACCATGCTACAGGTACCTAGGGAGGTTAAATCGCTGTGATTTTGTTATTTGGTTGTCTTGGTTCTGCTGTTTGCTACAGTTTTAAAAGTTGTCGTACCACAGATTGGCACGCATCATTCAGTCAAAGTTTTGTTTTCAAGGAATAACTTTTGTGGGTCAGTAAATATGCAGCAAAGTAACTTTTTGTTTATTACGGAATGATGTAAACTTAGAAAAAGACAGCAAAACCCATATAGCCTGGAAACAGTAATTTTTAAAAGAGCTAGAACTGTTTTAGAGTGGTTTTGCTTTCCTTTGTGTACACATACATTTCAATCTGTCCCACTGTCCCTTCCAATCAATTTTCCAGATTTTGGGAAACAATACCAAAACTTTGTTTATCAAAGATAAAAAGCTCTCTAAAAAGACCTATCCTTTGATTCCAGCCAATGTTAAGGTTACTTTATACATAGAAGTTAATAGAATCCACATTTTGCTTACTTGCTTTCCCCCAAGAATCTAAATTGATTAAAGGGAACACTTCGTGACCCACACATCTGATCTAGCTGGGTCAAAAATGTGCATGGGTTATGCAGTTCTGCTTGTACCATCACTTCTTGCCACAGTTTTAGCAAAGTTCTGTTTTTTGAGACTGAGAACGTTTTAATTTACAGATATGCTATAGATATTAAAGGTCTTGATCAATGGCAATGATAAAATGTTACGTGATTATAAATTACCTTGTTTAAAGCTTCATTTTTTTCCGTATGAGGTGCTCAGACCTTTGCTCAGTGTTTAAAATGAGCGATGGTGAGAAATCCCTGTTTAAGGCCAGAAGAATAAACATAAGGGTATATTTGACCATATTTCGTGTTCTAAAAACAGTATGCTCAAATGTGCCAAGCAATCCAACTTTTGGAAAACATGCCTTATTTTCCTTAAAATGCTTTTCCGTGTCTTGTAGGAAAGATCCAAGGTCATAATGCTACTTTATATAATAAAGTACAAGAAAACTTGAAATCCACTGCAATACAAACATAGTCTTTTTTTTTTTTAAGCTAAAGGGACACTGTCAAGTAGCTTACATTTAAAACATGACCACCCTTTCAGGTGATTAGAGCATGGCAAATAATGTTCTCATTTTAAATCCACTTGTTTTTTTTAAAAAAATGCTGTCTGAGAAATTAAATAAACAACTTAAAAATTAGACACTGTTGATTCATGCCTCTTTATTGTTTTGTGCTGCACAGTGCAGCTTTCAGCCACTGGGGGAGCTAAACTAGACAAAAAAATAGTGCTGAAATTGTTTAATTTGACTCTGTGCCAGAGGAAATGAACAGGGGAGGGGGGCAGGGAATATAGCAGTTACTGAGCAAACCATATGGGGTGGAGGTATGGATAATTTCATCTTCATAGCTAGAGCTTGCAGACTGACAGTGGAGAACGTCTATAAACTTTTACTGACAAATACTTGACAGTGTCGCTTTTTGAAGTATCCCTTGCAGGGGTTGATTCTTGCTCTGTGTAGCTCTCTTTGAGATGTACTGCGAAACAGAACCACCCAGAACTTTTTAAAATATAGTAAATCTGTCTGCTGTGCAGATAGAAAACTATATTGGGCAATGAAGAAAATGTACCACTGCCTACAGTAGGCCAAATAATGTCATTTGAGTGCAATTACATTTTTGAATCTAAAAACAGCACTGTAGCCACTTCTTTGATCAGCCATGTCCCTTTTTAAGCTATGCAAACTGTTGTATAATGTGATCAACTAACAATTGGATAGGATTTGTGCACTAACTGGAGTATATATAATTATAGGTATTAGTGTGGATTTTTTTTAATGCTAACAGCAAACGATAACAAATCTACCTATTCTGAATTCAGCTACATGGGTAAAATGTTATAAACCCTGATTTCTGGTGATCTGGAAAGAATGAAACTTCTTCCTAAAATGGGATTATAATATTTTATAACTGTTTTCCATTAAAATACTATTTTTGTCCGTTCTAAGTATTTAATTTGTAAAATAGTTTTTACTTTGTACCGACATTCATAAAATAGGCTATGGTATATCTTTTTGAAGCCAAGTGATCAAGTACGTTTGTAATAAAAAGTCAATGGATCTGTTTCGGTTGTACCCTCTGTTTTCATTTCTTGTATGTTCTAATGCCATGGTGTTAAATATACGTCCTGAGAAACTGGAGGCCAAACTTGGGAGGGGTAGAAAATTAAGGAGGTAAAGAATAAATGCTAACCTTACAAATTTGAAATGCTTTTTGCGTTGGAAGTTTCTGTAACACTTATCAATACTTAGTGGCCCAGTTCAAAAATCCTGCTTTGATCCTCCAACCTGTGGTTTGGAGCACAGGCTGCACACTCCTCCCTGCCCCACCCAAATCCCCTCCACCTTTCATGTTTCCTTTAACCCCAGATTGCCCTGCAGTCCAAACTGAGGAGACTCATTAATGCTGCCCTCCAGGCATGATTTCGAAGCTCTGGCCTGAAGTGAGCTTGCCAAACTATAGTATGAATAGTCAGTATTAAATGTAGGTGCTTTATTTGACTATTATGGCAAACTAAGGAAACAGGCTGATGGAGCGGAATGTGCATGCCAGAGAGGAGTGAGTGGGCCGGCTCTTGCAGCCAATGTCTGTGAGCTAGAATCCCCATTTTTATGAAATCATTTAAGATATTTTCACATGAACCCGAAACAAATCTTCAGGATTCTCAATTACACTTTTTCTACTCTATGTATTAAAACCTAGGAACATCCGAACAGCTGCTAGAATTTCTCCCTACCTCCCTTCTTTGGCTATTTGAACATAGGGCCTTAATCTAAGGGATATGCTGCCTCCTTTTTAAAAAAAAGTTCTCTTCTACAAAGGTTGTTTTAGCCTATCAAATTTTAAATACTGATTCTAATTTTAAAAAATCTCAAACATTTTGAATCAGGGACTGAAGACTTTGCACTTGCCAAGCTGGCAGTTTTTTTGCACGGTGACTTACTTTTTATAAAACTGGGCTTCCGCTTTCAAATTTCAGAGGCATGTTCAAAGTTTCTTCTAAAAGCATAAAGGCTAAAGG